TTTTGGTTATATACCAAAATATATTATCTCACATAGTCCAGAGAAGGAATTTGCGAGAACAAATGAAAATTTTATTTTCTTTTTGCTATTAAGGAAGCAAAACTTGATAAAGTACCGTAACGGAAAATAAGATTGAAGTAAAAAGTAAAATAACGGAAAATAAACAAGTAGGAGTAGTAATCTATATCTATATTTATATAATGGATCAATCCTTATTGTCATAATTGGCATGATTTTGAGCGGGAAACTTTTTCGTCTATATTTGGTATTTATTAATATTTATTTATTAGCAAATCTTATACATAAAAAATATAGTTAATCTTTATAAACTCAATGATCATTACTTATTAACTACAAATTGGATTAAATTGAAATTTTGACCATGGATTAATTAGATATATTTTCAATAAGATAATATATTAATTTAATAGTAGTTTACTTACTCAATTTAAAAAATTATTATGAAAATTGATTTGATTAAATATATTATCATCTATGGTTTGTAGGTATTTAATTTAATTAATTATTATATTCAATATTCAGAAGTACTTAAAATATTTAATAAAATAATCAGAGTAAGTATGTTTAAATCATAATAACTTAATATATAATTTAAAATAATAATAAAAGTTTCTAAAATGTAGTCAATTTAACTATAAAAAGGCACATACAATTGAATACAGCATATTCAGTGCTATTATACTTTTATTTTTATTAGGTTATCATTTAAATTTTCTTTTTTTTTGTTTTGGACGAAAAAAAAAAAAGAAAATTTAAATGATATACTAATAAAAATAAAATTCGATGGTCGGGTGCAATTCAGGATTATAAATTTCACTTTAGAAGTATCTATGTACACAAAAAAAAACTATTTATTTTTAAAAATATATTTTTTTTCTCATATTATATTTTATAAATGAAAAATAAGTAATAAAAAAGCAATGTATAATAATTTAAATTATAGCACTTGGAAATAATAGAAATATATAATATATCTAAA